TAAACTGTGTATGAAAGAGAAGATGCTGGCAATGCAAAATACTTTATTTTCTACTCTCTCCATTCAAAGTTTGCAATGTTTGTAATCAATGAAAGAACCTTGGTTATTAACAGACTGCTGTTTTTTTAGATTTTTTCTTCTCCATCGTTTTTTTATAAAGTAAATTTAGAAAAACATTTGGAGTATTTTCTGTTCGTTAAATGTAAGTTTTTGTTAGTTTTTTTAAGTCAGGGCCAGGCAGACAGTGAATTGATCATAGCCTATAGCCTATGTTTGATCAATTTAGCCTTCTCAAATCATCAGGACTACTAAAATAAAATCTATATATAAAACAGTTGAAGTATATCACAATGTTAGTTTAAATGTTTAACCTATATAAATGTGAATATCCAATCGTTTGCGGAGGAGTAGAAGCTAAAGCGTGCTCTGCAGGACATGGAGGCGCCAGTGCGATCATTTTTTTTCTAACAGTGGAAACAACTTAAAATACGCAGTCATTTTTGCTCATATCTCTCTAAAGGCACATCCAATTAGGAGATGGCGAGTCATTTTTTCTTCACTATAATTGATGGACGGCCCGATTATAATTTGCGTTTTATTTTATAATTCCGAACAGTTAAAACAATAAAACACTAATTATAATGGCATATATGAAAACTTTGTCCTATAATTGTATAGCTGCTTTTTCTGATTTTTATGTTGCTCTGTTCTGAATACCTTAAAATTTAAAAAAATGACTGACGTGTCTGCTGCCAGTATGAACATCTCCATAAATACTGTAACTAAGGTAGTAATGGCTGCACCACAAGATTGGCATAAATACATATATAAAGCATTTCTTTCTTAAAGGGGTTATATGACGTTGCTAAAAAGATCATTATTTTGTGTATTTGGTGTAATGAAATGTGTTTATGTGGTTTAAGGTTAAAAAAAAAAACAATATTTTCCACATACTGTACATTATTGTTTCTCCTCTATGCCCCGACTTTCTGAAACGTGTCGATTTTTACAAAGCTCATCGGTCTGAAAAGCGAGGTGTGCTCTGATTGGCCAGCTATCCAG